CGGGAGAATAAGGTGGATGAGGAATTTTCTCCCAACCAAGTTCTTCGATCTTTTGTGACGTGATTCTTGCTGTGTGGGGTCGCGCATTGTCCTGATGAAACATAACCCCTTTTCGATTCACTAAAGCAGGTCTTTTTTTCCCTCAAAGCTTGGTTCAAACGCTTTAATTGCTGACAGTATATCTGAGCATTAATTGTTACATTAGGTGGTAAGAATTCAATGTGTTTATTCCTTGGTGATCCCACCAGATTGAAAGAAGAACCTTTTGCCCATGAAGTTCCCTTCTCGGCTGGGGCTGGGGTCCTTCCCCTTTACCAAGCCACTGTCTACGACGCTTAACATTTCGATAAAAGATCCATTTTTCGTCGCCAGTCACAAGTCTATCCAAAAAAGGTGAAACAAGTTGGCGAGAATGGAGAGAAGAGCAGATGTCAACTCGGGATTTGAGGTTGTTTTCAGACAATTCATGATGCACCCATTTTCCAAGTTTAGTTCTGTGTGTGTGTGTGTGTCTCTCTCTCTCTACCACTTGCTTTCTGTACGTGTGTGTGTGTATGTGTCTTTCTTTCTCACACTCGCTCTCTCTGTGTCTGTGTGTGTCTTTGTTGAAGATGAAGATGAACAGTTGTATGGTTTGAACTGAGAACCACTGCCAATTCCTCAACTGATAAAGCAGGATTTTCTTCAAGGGCTGCTTCAAGAAGCTTTTCATGAAACTCAACTGGACGTCCAGTTCGATCTTCATCTTCAAGGGTGAAATCTCCACCTCTGAATTTTGCAAACAATCTTCTGCAAGTTCTTTCATTCACACATTCCTCTCCATAAACTGAGTGAATGTTTCTAGCCGTTTCGGCTGCTGAGTTTCCTTTTTTGAACTCATAAAGCATTATCTGCCTCAAATGATTCTTGGGTACTTCCATGTTAGCAGGGTTTTAATCAAACAAAATTTTATTTTATTTTTCTCTGAAATAAAATTCGATCAGTTTAAATGCATCTAAACATAAAAATAATTTTCAGATGCATTAGACATTATAAAATACTCTTTAAATTTCGTTCATTTTAACAAAAAGTTAAAATTCGGACAGAACTTATGGGATGACCTGATACATATCTTAGGTTGATGGAACGTTTTTAGTGGTACCTTTTTCTTTTTTACTCGATCCGTTTTTTTTCTTTGGAGTAAAAATTAGAAAAATGAGCGATTTTTTTCGTCCTACTCAGATGCTTTTAGTCTTTTCATTTTTTTTTCAAAATTTTTCGCCCAGATACCAATTTGTTATATTTTTATTGGCAAATTGTATTATCTATTTTTTATTACACCAGTCAAATATAGACAAGAACATAATATCTATCAATTTATTACACCAGCCAAGTATAGACAAGAAATATATCTATGTATGTATGTATGTATGTATGTATGTATGTATGTATAAGTTTGTGCGTGTGCGTATGTATATATATCTGTATATAAATATATGTATATGTATATATATGTATATATGAATATATATATATGTATGTATATATATATATATATATGTATATATATATATATATATATATATATATATATATATATATATATATATATATATATATATATATATATATATATGTGTGTGTGTGTGATGATAGCCGCGCACAGAACGGCTCGAAATAGACTATGTCTATGTTGAGGTAATTTGTATTTTGTTGCTGTAAAATATATATATATATATATATATATATATATATATATATATATATATATATATATGAATATATATATATGAATATTTATATATATATATATATATATATATATATATATATATACATATATATATATAGATAAATATATATATACAGATATATATATATTTATGAGTACATATATATATATATATATATGAGTATATATATATATATGTACTCATATTATGTACGTCAGACGTACATATATATATATATATATATAATTTTATAATTTGCACCGGAAATATACGTATATACGTACACATTTGCTTCCATCTGTCGATACGAACATACTGAGGAATTGGTAATAATTCCATCATATTTTGCAGATTTAGCATGCAAACTCAATGAAGCGTTTTTTCAAAAGACGAGGTTATGCCGACCTTTAAATTGATCCCATGATTTTTTAAAAGCTTTCATTTATATCCGTTTTTCTTTTTTTTCTATCGAAAATTAAGATTTTGTCATAAAGGCGATGCTTAAATATTTTCAAATTCTGATTAAACTTAATTTTCTTTTTTTGTTTAGGAACGTGGTCTTCAAGAGTAAATTTTCTTTACGCAAAGAAAAAAAAAAAAGAAAAAAAAAAAGAGGCTTCAATCTGTAACTCTCATAGGAAGCGATCTCCATCTTGGTAAATGTCAGGATTTGTGCGTCGGTGGGAATTTAAAAAAAAAAAAAATTCGGAGAGGTGGAAGAAGAAAATGCTATTCCCTTGGGTATAAATTTTTAAAACCATCTTTAATTCATTGCCTCCTGGCGTCGATTGACTTTTTCTGTTTTCCGTATAGTGTGACCATTTTGTATAAATTTTGTATTTTCTGGATTTCAAATGAAAATTTGGAAATTTCTCAACATATTTTTGTGAAATTTTTCTTTTAGGAAATTATAGTTTATAATTATAATTTAGATATATTGGAAAAGAAGTTTAAACTAACATTATAGCGATGCAGATTAAATAAATATCCAATTTTAAAAATGTTTTACTCGTAATTTGATTTTACAACCTAGTGAGGTAGAATATAACTATAAATATTAAAAATCTTTTTGTATTTGTGGAAAATTTACTAATTACTAAAATTTCTAACCTTGAGTGTTGGAAATCATACTTTCTGTATTTCTGTGAATAACCTCTTCTTAGATATCCTGTATCTTCCTGGCGTCAGTTTAAACTTACGACTTCTTTTTTCCATATATTGTGGCTATTTTGATGTACGTTAGTATTTTTTTGATGTCAGCTGAAAATTTTTAAACATTCCGCCACATTTCAGTGAAATTTTTCTTTTTCAAAATTATAACTTATTAGCAGTAGAGCCCGGCGTTGCCCGGGGATGTAACAGTAAGAGATAGATCAAGTATCGACCATCATAAAGACTGAAAAATAAAATTGACAAAGATTATTGTTTAAGGTTGACGGACACGCATGTCTTAAATATTTTTTTTTTTTTTTTTACGAATTGGTCAAAGCCAAACTCAAACAAAACATTGTTTTCAATCGTTATGAGTCTACCGATTGAATAAAATTTTATTATAAACAATTGTCTTGTAAATGGAATTTTTAAAGCATTCTGAATGTAAAAATAAAGAAAAAAGTGTGCAAGACAATAAGAAACACTACCTGCCAAAAAAAGTGAAGTTTTGTTGAAATCGCTTGAAAAATGTAGGAAATCCGATCCCATATATAAACACACACACACACACACACACACACACACACACACACACACACACACACACACACACACACAACCAACCTGGGTTTTATAATAAGTATAACTCGATAACTCGATATTAATAAGTATAACTCGATATGAGTTGTCTCCCTTTCATTAATGCCTCTTAATCGTGTTTTCAAATTGATTTCGTGCAAAAACAATTGTGTTTTTCCAATTTTTGGCGCTTCGGGGTTAGCAGGCTTGTCTTACGACTGAGTAGTGAGTTCGATCCTCATTGGGTTCCCCATACTTTCGGCCTTGTGCCACATCTAAGCTACGCTTAGAAAATCATTTAGGGCACCTCGGCGTGGTCTAATGGTTTGTAAGCTTGTCTCGCTGGAGTAATTACGACTGAGTAGTTAGTTCGATCCTCATTGGGTGCTCCATACTTTAGGCCTTGTGCCACATCTAAGCAGCGCTTAGAAAATCACTACGGAAAAAGGTTTTAGTTTAAACTGACGCCTGGTTAAATAAGTGATATATTGAAGAACGTTTTATTTTTATTGGAGGAATATATATGACAAAGCGGAAAAAGTTTTCGTGTGACGTGTTTTGTACTTTAGGACGTCATTAAACTGTATTTTTTTTATGATAGTACGATTTCACTTTACTTTGCCATACGCCTTTCCCCCAATATTGTCCTTGATATTTAAAAATTTATATATTGCTATTCCATATATATATATATATATATATATATATATAAAGTTTGTGTATTTAGACAGCAATCCTTCTTTCATGCACATTTCACTGAAAACGACAGACAAGGTGCTTTTATTTAGTTTTTTATACAATTTCTCATACGATCTAATATTTTTTTTGCTTTTCGGATGATAAATTATAAAACAAAAACTCTCAGGGTGTGCTATATTTATATGATAAAGTGCTCAATATCAGAGATAGAACGTTTGTAAATATAAAAGTGAACATTGAAGTCAAGTCAATACTTAGAGGCGACAGGCTGTTTCATGCTAGACACAATCGTCAGGCCATACATATATATATATAACACTATTTGTTACTGGTAATTATGAGAAGTTTTTTTAATGGAAGGAACGATATATTGACAGATCCCTGATAAAGAAATAAGAAGGGTTAATGAATAGACGCATTGGGAAAAATTGATGATTTTAATTCTCATGTAGACAGCCATCTGATTTGTGTGTCGGGGTTTTGAACAATGAAACACATAAGGTTGACGTGGATTTGAACTGCAACAGATCAAATGGCAACAATGATTGGCACTTGGTGTCATTTAAAAATATGGGTTATGAATGGGAAACTTTTCTGTGTAAACAACGAACTTAGAATTAATCTTTACTGGTCAGAAGGTGGCCGAGGTAGCGGGCACAGATGAGTCGCCAAGGAAGGTGGAGGAGCCACCCACTCCCACTAAGGAGGATTAGTCGGAGATGATAATAAGGAGAAGTGGAAGTTATGGTTCGAACTAATGCCTGTAACCATCATCCGAAATTATGCAGGACACAGACAATGGAGACGGCATGCAGTGGGAAACACCGAATACCCCAACTGTGTCTTCCCTGCCCCTGTTTAGGCAGACGTCAATAAATACAAAAGCCCTGAAGAGAGAGAGAGAGAGAGAGAGAGAGAGAGAGAGAGAGAGAGAGAGAGAGAGAGTTCGTCCCAGCCACCGGAGGCGTGACACCCTACGACGAGAATCTCCGACATCAGCCTTGTGCCGAACTTTACCAAATCAGTGAGACAAACTTTACCAAGTCGACAAAGTGTCACGTCTGAGAGGCAGGTTGGGCAGATAATTGTTTGCATGCGAACACTTGGATTTAACAACAATTAACCAATTACTGTAGGAAGGATTTGTTATGAAAATAGTGGTTATTTTTTAAAAAATTTATTCGAGTGTTATTTTCTTTCTTTGCGCATCGTCTTGCTGGGACCAGCCCAATACAAAGATACCTGACGACGATTCGATCTTGGCTGCATTATGATCAAATCAAATTACAACGTGGGATAAGGCAAGGCTTGGATCGAAGCGATCACTTCATCGAACAGCCGCGATATTAGACGTCTTGGACCACCAGGGAGAATTTTAACGACTGATGATCATATACTTGTGTGAAACTTTTATTAACGGCTTTATCGTATAATTTAATTAGTACTGTTTTAGTACATTTTACAAAATAGCCGCTTTCTCTGTGTCAACATTGCAGTTTATAGACTACTAGCTTAAAAGCCGTACTCCGTGAGGAATTTTAAACGAGCTCCTGGGCTAATTTGTGTCTCCGGCCCCAAATTAAAGGGACCTCTGGTCCAGTTTATAAAACAGCAATGATAATTCTGGAGAAATAACTTTGAATTCCTCAATTCATTCCATCGAATTGAAAACCTCATTTTATTCGGTCCAGTTCGGGCCAAAAGTTTGATTTGGACCGATTAGGTCTGAAACTCCGATTTGGGCTGAAATTTTGATTTGGTTCGAAACTCTGATTTGGGCTGAAATTTTAATTTGGTTCGAAACTCGGATTTGGGCTGAAATTCCAAGTCAGGCAGAAAATTGAGTTTTTCAAATCACAAACTCCGCGGAACTTCAAAACCTTACGTCACCAAGTCTCTCACTTTAACGCGATTTCTTTGGCATTTTGAAGAAATAAAATTGATTTTCTCAATTCACAAAGTTTGGAGATATTTTAAATTGAATTTAAAGCAAACATTTTCCAAAATAGGTTTTTGTGTTACTTTACATACTGTATAATTTAATATATTTTAAAATCACTAATTTTTTTCAATTATTATTAATTTCAATATTATTAATTATTTTAAAATTTGAATTTTTAACTGTTCCCTTCTCACCCGGACACAAACCCAATGTCGGATGTTCAAGCACCAGACAAATGACAGATTTTCAGTCCCGTGATCATCCTGATTCCAAAACAGTTATAATATGCCTATGTAGAGCAAGTGTGGTCCGAATTAGAGTGCTTGCAGTGACACGGATGGACAGACAGAATTTGCTGATTTTTTTAGATTTCTCGCGGCTTATGTGCAGAAGTTATTTTCTTACAGGTGTTATTATTAAAGACAGTTATTAACTTTCTTTTATTCCCGGGTACACACGCACACACAGAGACAAGCATACATATATCAAGCCATATAATAATTATCAATGTGTATTTATTGATATACTAGCTTAAAAGCCGCCCTGCGAAGGGATCATGATTGGGCCTTTTGCTTCTTCAGGAGTTTAAGAGTCCCTAAGTATTTTCAGCATTGGAAGCTCTCTTGGCTGCCGTTTGATCTGGGTTTTCATTTGCACGGGACTTTCTTTTCCTCACTGTAGCGTTGGCTCTTTTGATTGCTGTCTGGTCTTCTATTGGCAGAGATTTCTTTTTGCGATGCATACTGCTGCCGTAGAAAAACTACAGAAGAACTCAAAATTGATAGCTGCATTTAAGTATTGCATTAATATTTAAGTTTACCTTTTAAAAGCTCAAATATAATTCTTCTGCTGCCACTTCATTTAAAGACAGTTTGATGAACGTATGTCCTTACTTTCCATACAAAGAATTATTTTTATTTCATGGGCGACTTTCGCTGGATTTCGCAATTAATTTCGATTTTTCCTAAATTCATTTCCAAATTATAAAAATATTTATCGTACAAAAAATTCCTCGCAAAAATCTCGTAAAAAAATCGCCGAAAACAATCGCAGTAATGAAAACTTGGGAAACCAAAATTTCTGTAACATGAGCTATTGAAAGTTACAGAGTTGTGTCCCTTTTAGTGAAAACGTGTAACACCGTGACACACTGACATTCGCATTTATTATATAGATTTCCTGTCCCATCTGTAGTTAAAAATTGTAGAAAAAATCAAAAGATTTAAGTAGTATAACTAAGATCACATTTCGGCGCAAAAGTAGAATAACAGAAATGTCAAATACATATTTCCACATTAGCATTTTTATCAATCAGTGAGGTTGTTTCAGACGTATCTTGTGATCCGAAATATTCCTATATATAGCGTAACTTAAATAAACTAGTGTTCAATATACCTCGATCGCGATGGGAATAATATCAATTTCTCAATTTTCGACTCCACAGAAAGAACTTATTGAGTGCTAAAGTTCCATTTGTAAAATTATTACTCGCCTTAACAGTATTTTCAGAAACCAGTTTGCACGGTTTATATTACGAAAACTCCAAGCGACGAAAAACAAAAACACAACATATTTCGGGATTAATTGACTGTATTTGCGCTGATATTTAGCTGATTTCCTAACAGCATTCGCCTACTGCTTTATTTACGCTATATACAGATAACAGAGCGTATTTTTTTGCGTGACAATCTCACATATACGCTACACTCTATACCGACGCAATTCATTTTTTCTTTGTGTTATAAGAAAATGTTTCCTCATGAACCTTGTTTGCGTTTATTTTTCCAAATCCAATTTTAAGATTCAACTGATTGAGAAAATTTATATCTTATTTCTTTCAGCTTAAATAAAGACAAAAATTATTTTACACTCAATAATAAAAATATTGGAATTTTTAGAGGTGTTTTTGAAAATTATTTATTTTCTTTGCTTTTTACACACTTTAGCACACTACATATACACACGTATATATATATATATATATATATATATCAAAGTATATAATTGGTATACACGGAATGAATTCCAATAACCAACAATTACTATTCTTAAAAGAGTGCTCAATACAAAGTAGAGCAGATATAATTATTTTTATAAAAAAAAATTATAACATAAGTATGTTATAAAATCACTACAAAAATAGCCATTTTGTTTCAACACACTCTGTGTCTTATCAAGTTGAAAAGAAAATAAATGGTTTTAAAAGTTTCAGATTAATTAACGATCCTACCAGGGGGAAACATTGTTACAAAAGCTAGAATAACCAATCAAAAACGAAGTATAGAAAGATTCAAAAGCTTGACAACGAAATCCTGCTCTAATAGCTATTCATATCTTTAAATACGTGTAATATTAAAAATAATTTATACTAACTAATAATTATAAATTTACATGATAAAATTTAATATTAAAATTAAAAACTGGCAATTTTTAAAAACCAAATTTAATCACTATTAAGTTTAAAAACTACAAAATTATTGATAAAAGAAAAATATACATGTGTTTATTCAATTCATTTCTTCATTGAAATTACGTTCGAGAAGACCAGACGCTACAATACATCCGGTCATTTGATAATACATGTATATATATTTTTTCTTTTTTCCCCTTCTTTTCTGTTTTTATTTTAAAGTTTGTGAATATGGTCTTAAACTCGTGTGACACAACAAAAAACACAATCAGATTATAATACATAAGCATCCAGACATAATTAGATACACACACACACACACACACACACATACACACACACAAACATACACACACACTAAAAAAAAAAAGGAGAGGTGTGGGAATACATGAACATCTCTACAGCCCTTTATGAAAAAGGAGATGTGAAACTAACACTTATACACACACAGATAAATGTGAATACACTCTACATACACATAGACATCGATATATACACATACATACATCCACAGACAATGGCATAGACATTGAGAAATCACAACCAGTAAATATTTCAGACTTAAATAAATGCTAACCACTTATCGAATTATAACTTAAGGGAGCAAATATACAAAGATAAAAATGTTTAAAATAATATTATTTAATATTAAAACGAAAATTCTAAAACCATAAATATCAATAAAAAATATATATTATTAATCATATAAGTTGATAATAGTTTTCATTATATATTAGGCAAAAGAAAAAACAGGATAAAGAAATCCATAATATATATATATATATATATATATATATATATATATATATATATATATATATATATATATATACACATATATACACGGCAGCAAAAACAAATTAACACACATAAAAAATATACTCATACATACATATACATACAGAAATACATACAAATAAATATATAAACATAAACATATACGTACATATACATATCTATGATAACAAGTACATGTACGCACATATACATATAAACCTACATACACACACATATATACACATAGACGTTTATGCACCCATACTTAGATATATGAAAAAAAAAAAAAAAAAAACTGTCATGATATACCAAAGTTTTTATACCCACACATACACAAACAAACTCATACATAATAGGTGCCAACACACACATATATATATACATACACAAACATACATAAATATATATACACACATACACACATATCTACAAATAAATATATATATATAAATAAATATATCTATCTACAATAACAACTACCCATATATACATGCATACATAAAAATACAACAACATTCAACCAAATACATATATAAACGAACTAACATATAGATACATAAATATACCTTCAAACACCAACACACAGCAATATACATATAGTCTAACATACAAATATATAAACACATTTATACAAACAGAAATATACTTAAATATAAATACACATACACAATAAAATAGGACATATAGATATATACATATATATGCACACATATATATATATATATATATATATATATATATATATATATATATATATATACATACATATTTACACACATACACATATATATATATATATATATATATACAAATATATCGTGGCACAAAGCCGAAATTAGGGGGTACCCAGTGAGGGACGAACTCATACCTCAGTCGCACCCAATCTAGCGAACCATGCTGGCCAACCATTATACTGCCGTGATTTTATCATACATATACATGTACATACTCATACATATACACATACACATACATACATACATATACACACATACATACACATATATATATGCATACACATACATATATATATATATATATATATATATATATATATCCAACCACATACACATACATACATATATATATATATATACACATACAAACATATATATATATATATTTACATACATACATACATACATATACACACATACACACACAAATACATACATATACACACACCCATACACACATACATATATAGGCACACACATACACATATACAGCAACAATTATTAACTTTTTCTCTTATAATCTACCTTACCTTCCCACATAATATATATATATATATACACACACACTCATATATATATATACATACATACACACCCCACACATACACCCACACATATAAAAAAAAAACAAAAAAAACATAAATACATTTATACACCAACCTACACATTCCACAGTGCAAATACTCTAACCAACACATAAATAAATATATACACATTTACACCAACACTAATAACACTATGTAGGTAAGCAATACACACTTATATCGTAAGTATGACCATCATGCAATAAAAATACCAATCTATTAAAAATACAGCGACATATCATTATCATTTAAAGTATACGACCCCTACACTAAGTTAAATTTATAACGGTGTTTACAATTTACTGTAAGTTCATATCTTTGATTTAAGAGATCAGCCTTGTTTTTAAATCTAATAATTTCAAATTTTTCATTAAGGCATAGGTAACATGGGGTATATAGGGAGTTACACGTACGAGCTTTCTTAACCAAACTCCATTTAATCGTAGGTGTTTTGTTCTTATCTTTTAGATTCCAAAAATACTTGGATAATGAGGTCATGTACCTATATTCACTGTGATTAAAGGATTGCATATGCCCCCGCCAGCGTTCCTTGAATGTTTTCATAGTAGAACCAATGTAAAACTTCTTTTATATTTGGATTTTCAATTGTTGAAATAGTACCAAGATAGACTACAGAAGTAATCCCACAGTTATTTTGTAGTGGACAATAATTCGGATTCCTACAATTACATAAGTTGTTATTTGTATTCTTATAATTAGTATTGCAGTTAATAACCTGTTGATTAGTCAAGTCTTTTGAATTCCTATACTTGTTAAAGACTATGTTGTTATGTTTTTTAATTATCTAATATTGATATTGATATTTATGGTTTTAGAATTTTCGTTTTAATATTAAATAATATTATTTTAAACATTTTTATCTTTGTATATTTGCTCCCTTAAGTTATAATTCGATAAGTGGTTAGCATTTATTTAAATCTGAAATATTTACTGGTTGTGATTTCTCAATGTCTATGCCATTGTCTGTGGATGTATGTATGTGTATATATCGATGTCTATGTGTATGTAGAGTGTATTCACATTTATCTGTGTGTGTATAAGTGTTAGTTTCCACATCTCCTTTTTTCATAAAGGGCTGTAGAGATGTTCATGTATTCCCCACACCTCTCCTTTTTTTAGTGTGTGTGTATGTTTGTGTGTGTGTGTGTGTGTGTGTGTGTGTGTGTGTATCTAATTATGTCTGGATGCTTATGTATTATAATCTGATTGTGTTTTTGTTGTGTCACACGTGAGTTTAAGACCATATTCACAAACTTTAAAATAAAAACAGAAAAGAAGGGGAAAAAAGAAAAAATATATATACATGTATTATCAAATGACCGGATGTATTGTAGCGTCTGGTCTTCTCGAACGTAATTTCAATGAAGAAATGAATTGAATAAACACATGTATATTTTTTCTTTTATCAATAATTTTGTAGTTTTTAAACTTAATAGTGATTAAATTTGGTTTTTAAAAATTGCCAGTTTTTAATTTTAATATTAAATTTTATCATGTAAATTTATAATTATTAGTTAGTATAAATTATTTTTAATATTACACGTATTTAAAGATATGAATAGCTATTAGAGCAGGATTTCGTTGTCAAGCTTTTGAATCTTTCTATACTTTTTTTTTGATTGGTTATTCTAGCTTTTTGTAACAATGTTTCCCCCAGTGTAGGATCGTTAATTAATCTGAAACTTTTAAAACCATTTATTTTCTTTTCAACTTGATAAGACACAGAGTGTGTTGAAACAAAATGGCTATTTTTGTAGTGATTTTATAACATACTTATGTTATAATTTTTTTTTATAAAAATAATTATATATATATATATATATATACACAGACACGCACACACATATATATATTCCGTTTCTTACCTATGTAAGAGTGCTCTATTTTAACTTATTTTAAAAGATCTTTTAATGCATATAAAATAACATTGTTGCTTTATTTACCCATTTACAGTGCTGTTTCACGCTTAGCGATTTTTCTAAATGGGTGGCAGGATTTAATAGCCTTCCCAAAATATGTTGTTCTTTTAACGTTCTTTAAAAGGAATGCGTTAGTATGCCGATATTTTGAATTTCATTCTTTTTATTCATTAAATTATTCAATTTTTAATTCATTTTTATTTAATTGATTGTGGATTCAAAACGAAATTCAAATATATGAGGAAATCAGAAAAATAAAAATAAGATGTTTTAATCAACGATACAAGAAGAATTTTGATACAATTATAAGAAATTCTTAAAATATATTGATAAATATTTCCACAAATCATACAATTTAAAGAAAATATTTTATAGTAAAAGGATAGAAATTAGCTTGATTTGCATAAGTAACATTGAACAAATAAATTAAAAAATACCAAATACTAACAATATAAAAACACTAACAAAAATGTAATTGTAGAAATACAACCAAATGTCCACGACAAAGAAATTGCAGAGAGGAAAATATATTATATCAGACGAAAGTGACAACAAAGGAGGTCCAGAGCAGGGTTTACACTAGAACAGCTGCGACAAATGTAAGGAAAGATATGCAAATTATTTGTTGTCATTTAAATACGAATGATATAAGAATAATAGCATGTTGTCAAAATATATATTGTCAAAATATATATTGTCAAAATATATACTGGAATTAAAAATTGATCAGAAAACTCAATTCGTAAAAAATATATAAATAGAAACATAGGAAAAAACTGTATAACGTGAATAATCTAATAAATAAATGGAATTAAATTATTTCGAACTATCGACACACTGATGCATTCGTTTTAAAAAAGTTAGGTCAACATATATCAACCAGTCGCCCATTTTAAAAAAACACTAAGCGTGAAACATCATTGTAAATAAGACAAAATATTATATGTATCCAAATCTCTTTCTGTTGTATACTGTTTCCAGTGTGCGTGAAAATTCCATCAGAAAATTAAAATTTGCGATGTCCTATTATTCTGGCCTTGCATGAGGTAGCTAAACTTTGTGAAAATATGGCTCTTTACGGTGAAGCACTTTAGCGTTTGCCCGTAGGACTGGGAATATCAGTAGAGGTGGGCGTAGTGACTGATGATTCGATGCACGTACCACTATTACTTCTGATGGCTCTGATGATCTTCGCAAGTGACGTCCACTGTGCCTAGGGGTTCGGTTTGGCGTTTCAACTTTGTATGAATGTTCATCTAGGTAATGATTTATAACGAATTTCTCCCACACCCGATCAGCATTTTTTTTTTACGGACGCATTCCAACGACGTCAGCCGCAATCAATGCAGGCAAATTGTGTACTCGACGATTGAATGTGCTGTTTTTTGTTCAAGCAACGCTTTGTCACTTTCATCAAGATTTAGTTTAATCAGATTTCTGCCCACGTGTTGTGGTGAGCTAGAACGGTGATACAGTAGGCGTGGGAAGTACTGCTTCTTGTACCTTCTGTAGGTCTTTTTAGACTGAAGGCTGCATGCTTTTGTTCAAAACTAATTTACGAACTCACTTTGGCCAATACAGATTTTCTCTGTCAGAAAATTTTTTTTATCATATATATAATAATAATAACTAGTTTTAAGCCGTTAAAATTTCACGTTTTTTTTTTATCCAAATATTCACTTTGTGTTTTTTGCGTCTATCAATCCTTTCTGTATACTTTATGAATTCCGTTACTCAAGGAAATGTTTGTACATCTATAATACAAAGAGACTGACAATTTCAGGTCAAAAAACTCAATATTAATAAATCTATTTGCAAATATTTAAATATTGTCTTTGAAATTCACTTAAAAAAACGCAAGGAACACTTGTTCCGATCCAATATATTCATCAAGGTCTTTTTTTTTTAACAAATAATCACTTTGTGTTTTTTGCGTCTATCAATCCTTTCTGTATACCTTATGAATTCCGTTACTCAAGGAAATGTTTGTACATCTACAATACAAAGAGACTGACAATTTCAGGTCAAAAAACTCAATATTAATAAATCTATTTGCAAATATTTAAATATTGTCTTTGAAATTCACTTAAAAAAAACGCAAGGAACACTTGTTCCGATCCACTATATTCATCAAGGTCTTTTTTTTTTAACAAATAATCACTTTGTGTTTTTTACGTCTATCAATCCTTTCTGTATACCTTATGAATCCCGTTGCAAATCTCAGGGAAATGTTTGTACATCTACAATACAAAGAGACTGACAATTTCAGCTCAAAAGACTCAACGAAGCGTATTCTAATCATCGAACACCATTCTCTTATTTCAACAGCGCTTCATTCAGTGAACACAGAGCAACGGAACAGAAATTCAAAGAATTCACTAAAACACGAATCACTATTTCCAGAACGCTTACCAAGAATTCAGTTTTCTAGCTACATCAAAGATGGCGATTGTGAAAGAATTTTCATGGTTTTGCAGCAATATTACGAGTTGGGACTGTTAGGATATTATACTCTTGTTTCTTGTAATATCCTGGTACTTTTTTCTTGTTCGGAAGACAAAACACGGCTGGCGAGCACAAACAAATGTCTTAATGCGCGTTGCGTGTTTTATCATCTGTACGAATTCTGGACCGGAAATATGGATAAATGCGGGTGTGACGAGTTTAAACGAAATACTGAAAATAGTTTAATGTACGTTCTTGTCGAGCTGCACAAATGGTGATGACCATGACAAGGAAAGAGAGGGGGAATACAAAGAGAGGGAAATATAAGGAAAGGACGAACAGTTGAATAGAAGAAGAAGATAAGCTGTAAGGATAGTTGAAGAGAGAAAAAAAGAACGAAAGAAAGAAACAAAGAAAGGAAAGAGATAGATAGATAGATAGATAGAGAGAGAGAGAGAGAGAGAGAGAAAGAGAGAGAGAGAGAGAGAGAGAAAATAAAAAATGTAGGAAATATAAAGAAGAGGCGAACAGTTGAATAGAAGAAGATAATAAGATGTAAGGATAGTTGAAGAAAAAAGAAAGAAAGGAAAGAGAGAAGAGAGAGAGAGAGACAGAAGAGTAGGAAATATAAAGAAGGGTCGAACAGTTCAATAGAAAAAGATGTAAGGATAGATGAAGAAAGAAAGAAAGAAAGAAAGAAAGAAAAAGTAAGAAAGGGGAGAGAGAAGAGAGAGAGAGAGAGAGAAAAGAGTATGAAATATAAAGAAGGGTCGAACAGTTCAATAGAAGAAAATGTAAAGATAGAGAAAGAAAGAAAGAAAGAAAGAAAGAAAGAAAGAAAGAAAGAAAAAGTAAGAAAGGGGAGAGAGAAAGAGAATGACAAAGAGAATTTAAAAGGGTGGAGAATATAAGAAATAGCGAAAAGTTCAATAGAAAAAGAGAAGATGTAATGATAGACAAAGAAAGAAAGGAAGGAGAGAGAGAAAGAGCGAAAGAAAGAGAAAGAGGAGGACAGAAATAAGAAGAGTAGTGATATAAAGAAGGGTGAACAATTGAATTGAAGGCGAGAAGAAGATGTAAGGAAAGATAGATAGATAGATAGATAGATAGATAAAGAAAGAAAGAAAGAAAGAAAGGAGGGAGAGAAAGAGAAATAGAAATAGAAAAACAGAGAGAAATAAAAAAAAAGTGGGGGTATAAGAAAGGGTGGATAGTTGAATAGAAGAAGATGTAAGGATAGCTGAAGATAGAAAGAACGAAATAATGGAGAGAGAGAGAGAGGGGGAAAGAGAGAGAAATAAAATGCATGAGAAATATAAGGAGGGGCGATTAGTTCAATAGAAGAAAAGAATATGATATAAGGATAGCTGAAAAAAGAATGAAAGAAAAGAAAGAAAGAAAGAAAGAAAGAAAGAAAGAAAGAAAGAAAGAAAGAAAGTAAGTAAGTAAGTAAGTAAGTAATAATGAAGTCTACGGAAGAAAATAAACAAAACAGAATGGTTGATTCATAGCGTGATAGGTGTAGCCAAAAATAGATAGGAGTGGAACGAGTTATTTTAAGTGAATGTCTTTCTCTCTCTCTTTGCGTTGGTGAATGAAACAGAGAGAATGGTAACAATAAAGGTAATATGAGCCGTTTTCTAATAAGGAAACATTCTACATTGATTGACTCAGCCGCCAGTTTATAAAATGTCTATATTAAAACAATTTTTCAGTAAAATAGGTTTTCAAGTCCACTAACTGTTATCGCTATTCCCAGTATTACTGGAATTATCCTTACTAACCTTTTGTCTCAAATAGTGTGGAATTCTAACATCTGATGACATTATTTTCTCTTCGAGGTTTCAAACGATATCCATTTTAGTTGTTACTATTATCTGTTACAGTTCTTTGTGATTTTGTAGCACCAGTCAACGATTTTCGAAGAATGACGGTCCTTTTCGCTGGAAGCCATTTCAAACATTGATCTGACAAAGCGGTTGTATACACTTCATAATTTGGGCAATAAAGTGAAAGAAGAAAATCAAATTGGGAACAATATATATATATATATATATATATATATATATATATATAAAAGTGAACATAGAAGTCAACCCTTAGAGGCGACAGTCTGTTTCATGATAGATGGCCTGACGATTGCATCTAGCATGAAGCAGACTGTCGTGTTGATTCTATGTTCACTTTTATATTTACACACGCTCTATCTCTGATATTGAGCACTTTATCTCATAAATATAGCACATATTAAGACTATATTTTTTATATATATATATATATATATATATATATATATATATATATATATATATATATATGCATGAAATGCACGAGACACTGGTCAGTGGAGGGTGGAAGAGGTTTTATAAAATTAAACTCGGATATTAACCTTATGACATTAAATTGGGTTTATATGAGAAAGGAACGAAAAGGGAGTTTTTTTAATTATATAGATAAGGTTAGATTTAAAAATACAAGTTCCTACTTAAAAATACTCATCCAAAGATAAATTATACTTCGTTCTTTTCGTCTGACTGAAACATTGAAATGGATAAATTCTGTATTAATTTTTCGACGGCTGTCACAGTTAAATTTCTAATTCCGACATGAACTCAGTCTATGCACTGGGGTTGAATAAGACTGATGAAGCTTTCGTTGGTTGAAATAGATCTACCCCTCCCCATATGAAGTAATTTGGGATTTTGTTGTGTAATACTATTTATTGGCTCTGTTATAATAAATATACTGAACTCCTTTTGCTGATCAGTTTTAATAATTTTTATATTGATAGTACCCACTTGGATTATATACTAACGGATTTATTGCTGATTCTCCTTTGGATTTTATCAAGAATCTCTAAATAAAGGGTAGGAGCACCGGACCATATGTGGCAGTAATATTCTAAACATGGATGAATGTTAGACTTATAGATATGTAAGATAGATCCTGGAGAAAACTTGTAAAGCACGGCAGTGTGAACCAAAGTTTTTTCCGAGAATGTTTAACCGAGAAGGCACAATGAGAAACTCTCCAGGAGGTTAGCATCAGCCATAGTGATGGAAGAGAGAAAGTGGTCTCTCAAATGAATTACAGAGAGAAGTTTAGTTTGAGAGGCGTTAAAATTAACAAGCCATTCCTTGCCCCTGTTAACAACAGACTGTAGGTCGTTTGTGCGATCAGCCGCAAATTTGACCTTATCGAACTTATCGGACTTACTGTCAAGACATGAGTAAATGGTTGTGTCATCAGTATAGATACCAAGTTGAGAGTTAATGTCATTAGGAAGGTCGTTAATGAAAATTAAAAACAAAGTAGGGCCAAGGATAAAGCCCTGAAGGACACCTGCATCCGTGAAGGAGTATCTAGGAAAGAGACCGTTCTGGACAACTTTCATTTCACGATTATATAAGAAAGATTGAATCACTCCAAAAGCTTCCTGTCGAATACTTCGAGATGGCCAAAGCAACAGCACGGGTTTTACCATTATTATCTGAAGCTTTTGATATACTATTTCCGCAATAATCGTTAATACACCGGAGGTTGACCCAGAGGAACGAAACCCATATTGTTTGCCTGAAAGAAGATACTGCGTTGTTAGATGCTTAATTAATTCAGCATTTACAGCCTAAATACACACACACACACGCACACATGCACACACACATACATATTATAAGGGATAATAAAAACATTTTGAAATCGTTACACAAAAGATTTCATGTTTCAATACTATGATTATGCTTATTCAGGCGATGGTAAGAAATTGTTGATTAAATGATTTTCAAGGAAAAATTTTAAGGCTATATATATATATATATATATATATATATATAATAAACTGCAACATTAGAACATGCAAGTTACCACGAATTTATAATAAATATTTATTGGTCAACTTCTTTTATTAAATTAATGTTATGAACGTTTGAATTTATTTTCTTTTCGTTCTTTTACATTTGGATATATATATATATATATATATATATATATATATATATGTGTGTGTGTGTATGTCTGTGTGTCTGTGTGTGCATATATATAAATACACATACATATTTACACGTACATATGTACTCAAACATGCGCGTGCACACACACACACACACACATATATATATAGATATAGTCATCCACGTTGTATCACAGCTCTTCAATGTAGCTAGACGTCCGATTGCTTCAAGCCGAGATCGAAACTCCTATCCCTAAGCTATCGACGCAGAGAAAGGGAAATTTGAGCGTTTTCTATACGAAATAAGCCAGCGGCTAAGAGAACTCAGTTCTTACTTGAAGAGTATTATGAGTCAGTTATGTGCTATGTGTTATACACGCTTAGGCGATCATGTATTTTCGATACATGACAGACGAGTCAGATTTTTTTCCCGCAGTAGGTTGCCATTTTTTTCTGCGGTAGACTAGTTACAATCAAAAGCTATGGATCCCGGTTTGTCCAGCTATTTACCCATAGCTAGGGGAAGAAGAAGAGGATTAATACGTTTCCCAAGGGTATTAGCACGTAAGTGAATTTAATGGATTCGACTGGAATTCGAACTCGGGTCTCCGATAAATTTAAAGAGTAATCTATTGGGGAAAAATGTATAAGAAAGGGGAAAAAGTCTTCGTCTTTTAGGATTTATCGGACTAAATGTGTTATGCAAATACGCATGCGCACGAATGAGGGATGCTGGGAAATTTAACTTTATTTTTTTTTTAATGTAGCCGAATTAGTTTAGATTCTTTTTCGTCTTCTTTGTGAATCTAAATTAAATCTGACCGGAAAAATTCTGATGAAGTCCTGAAGGAGGAAACGCCTCATAAGTTTTCACCAATATTGTTTTTGATATATAAAATGCATATTATATATATATATATATATATATATATATATATATATATATATATATATATATATTCGATGCGATGAGAACGAAAGTAATATATAAATTCTAACGTTCACAGCATTAATCCAAAAGAGAGCTCGATAACGATAGTAAAGCGATAACTATTTATTTATTATAATAATATCATATAGACAAAACCATTTTACTCACTACAAAGATGCAACTTCTTTTCAGTGCATTTCAACTGCACTTCGACGGGTGACAATCGAAAATGGTTGCGATTCTCATCCGTCGAAGTGCAGTTGAAATGCACTGAAACGAAGTTGCATATTTGTAGTGAGTAAAATGGTTTTGTCTATATGATAAAATTATAATATATATATATATATATATATATATATATATATATATATATATAGGGGAGTTTAACTGAATGGCTGGACATGTCAGTGATGGTCATAATCGTTTTGTGACAGCCACTCGTTTACATCCGTATACAATACATTAAAAATTCCCTTTCTCCCTGCGGTGTGCTGATAACTTAGTGCTAGGATCTCCGACTGATGCCAAATCGGTAGGGTTTCGTTCTCGGGTTGAAGCAATTGGATGTCTAACCACACTGATGAGCTGGGATACAGCGAAACAGACCTGTATGTGGATGACCATATTATATATATATATATATATATATGTGTGTGTGTGTGTGTGTGTGTGTGTGTGTATGTATATATCATAAAGAAACATTTTATACAAAGAATTAAATAGCAATGTTAATATGATTTATGGCGAAATCACTTCGCTAACAAGACTTAATGAGATATTAACTTACTTTCAATTCCTTGAACAATAAGATCCTTATATTCGAGTTGTCTGATAGTAGATAATGCCGGTTACTTTCAACAATTTCAAATTGTCATCTTCAGGACATAATTTTCCCATACATAGGCAAACACTAAGTCTTGTTAGCGAAATGCTTTCGCCATTGATCACATTAACATTGATATTTAATTCTTTGTATAAATTGTTTCTTTATGATATAAAATATAAGCTGCACACTCTATATATATATATATATATATATATATATATATATATATATATATATATATATATATATATATATACTCACATACACAGACACATAAACCCTCATTATAGCAATCAAAGAATTCTTATGACCTTTCGGGACTAGTTAAGTCTGAAGTCTTTTGTAGACGTTCGCATTTATAGGCGATGGCCGTGTTGAAGTGACGGGTCTTGTTTGCTACATTCCACGCGCGGGCCATCGTTTGTCGCATGCAAAATATAGCATCCATAAAGGTTGATTGGACAGACACTTGACTTGAACACTTCTAGTTTTTTTCTGTTAGATGATCATATTTTGCGTTGTCGATTCGTCGACCAATATATTTACTGTTGCTAACCTTTCCAGTGACGTTGGCTGACCAATAGAGCACGCGCTTTAAGCGAAAAGGAAACGCCAATGCATTGGTACTCAAAATTTGAAGTACTGGTTTTTGAGGCATATTCATCAACAACCCAGTGACATCAATACAGGTCTGCTGAATGATGAACTGATTTATTAGAAGGCTTAATCGTTAAGTGTTGTAAATAAAAGGAACGTGGATAACATTTGAAAGTAAATGAATGGAAAATGGCGACAACGTAACATTACCAAATCTACATTATTTACATTATTCGGACTATTGTCCTTATCTTTGTCGCCATATTTATTACAACGTTTCGGCCGTTGTACGCTCCGGTCTTCTTCAGTACCTGTCTATATTTTTGAGATGAGGTATTATGTACACTATTTACATTATTCGGACTATTGTCCTCATCTTTGTCGCCATATTTATTACAACGTTTCGGCCGTTGTAGGCTCCGGCCTTCTTCAGGTGGTTGGAATGTTGAACTGAACCCTTTATTTCGCTCATTTAGTAAAAGCAAGTAAAAATGGTTGCTGAGACATTAGGTTTATAATGCCCAGAAATTCATACACAGATGTACTCAAGGACACATGGTACTGTAGATAAAGGCGTTGGTTAGATTCAGTAACAGGGTCCAAAGAGTGTGAGTTCAATACCCGGTTAAGGCAGTGCAGAACTTTCAGAGGGAAATTAACAGGAGATAACTGATAACTGACACCCATTAAACATGGCACGTGGAACTAGAACTGTCTACCCCAGTGAGCGAAATAAAGGGCTCAGTTCGACATTCCAACCACCTGAAGAAGGCCGGGGCGTACAACGGCCGAAACGTTGTAATAAATATGGCGACAAAGATGGAGACAATAGTCCGAATAATGTACAAAATACCTCATCTCAGAAATATAGACAGATTATTAAATCTGTAGTAATGGATTTGGTTAAGGCATAAACCCAAATATTCCGTTTTTTTTTTAAATATATATATTCCTGGGAAATGTCTGTTTCAGAGAAATGGAAAATTTGTCAATTTCATATCTATTCTTTTGTATCTGTTTACTTCTTTAAAGAATAACCAGGATTTAAATTGATGATTGCTTTTATAATATTTTGGTAAAGTTGTTAGGCTCAAATATTAAACGATACCATCGGGGAATTTCTACGGATACTGAATTGAATTAATAATTGAATAAAATCATTAACTTAAGAATTAAGATTCGTCATAAAATTAAATTAGGAAAACCATGAAATTTTCACGAGTATTTCTAGTAAATATGAATATAGCTGATTGTTTAACGAAATAAGAGAGTACAGATGGAAAGATTAACAAATGACAGAAGCAGACGTTAAATACATTAGATTATTATCACCTTCTCCAAGTTTGTTAGTTTGTTTGTTTGTTTGTTTGTTTCTTTCTTTCTTTAATCTTTCTTTCTTTCTTTCTTTCTTTCTTTGATCCTTCTTTCTTTCTTTCTTTCTTTCCCTAAAAATAAACTGCACCTTTGATATATCTTTTATTCTGTCTGTCCTCGCAAACAATCAGAAATGGTTCATTGTTTATCTGGCAGAGTGTAACTCAAAAAGAAAATAAAAAGAAAATAAAAGCGGAACAATCAGAATTATTGTATTTCCACTCATAGAAATTATATATTTTTGTTTCATCTGTGAAGAAGGTTTGGAGTTTAGCTATTACTCGTAGATGTTAGCATTTGCAAAAAAAGTGTTTTTCTTTTTGAAGCATTTTGCATAGAAATACTTCATAATGTAACAATTTGTGTGAGACTGTAACAATTCCTGAAAATTTCTTTAAAGAACAAGGCAAAAAGAGAAAAATTTCTTAGTGACAAATTAAATATTAGCTCTGTCTCAGCTTAAGATTCATTGTCAAATATTTAAAATGAGATTTCTGGCGATGAAGAATTTAGACTTGTTAATTGGCTTAATTAAAAGCTATTTAAATGAATATTGATAAAAGTCCTTTTAATTCGAATCGAATTATTTTTATTCAAATTTACTGTTTGTATTATTGTTAGTCCATATGCATGTCCTATCGCCCCACCCTCATTTAATTTGACAAACTTTATATAAAAAAAAAACTTTTCTTAAATTTTTATTTGTTTGCTTTTCTATCAATCCATCCCAATCCTCTTGTCCGATCTACTTTTGATCCGACGAAGATATTATTATAAGTTTTTAAAATTACTATTGGTGTTTTCCTTGAAGCTGCAATGCAGATAAAATTCTACAATTCAACTTCCAGAAATACAAATTTTTAAAATCCAATTACCAGAAAGACAAAAATACAAAGTCTAATTTCCAGAAGTGAAATATCTATAATCCTGCTATCAGAAGCACGAATTATGCAATCCAACTTCCAGAAATAAAATATCTACTATACAATTTCCAGAACAAGACTTTCCAGAATGAAAAAATTCCAGAACAAGAATATCTACGATCCATCTTCCAGGAGTAAAAGTTCTACTAACAATCGTCCAGAAGTGAAAATTCTGCAATCTAAATTTAGTGCTTCAGTACATATGTCCTTGGTTTCAATGGCTGGTGGGCGTGACTGTAGTTTTGAACTGCTTGATCAACCTCCCTATTCTCCTGATTTTGACCCATCTGACTATCATCTCTTCCCTAACATGAAAAAAAAAAAACAAAATACTTGACTGGGAACCAGTATTACAGTGATGATGACGTCATATCTGCTGTTGCTGATCGTTTTGAACAACAGGAAAAAAAACAGTGTTCTTTGTACAGTCAGATGTCAGTTTACCTGGAAAGAAACAATGCAGTTATTAACAAGAAGAGTTGGAATTAATGCATGCAAGATTTCACAGCTCTATCACCACTCTATAATCAGCCTATGAACTTTCCAGCCACCCTCGTACCTGGAAAAAACAATGTAGTTATTAATAAGAAGAGTTGAAATGAATGCATGCAAGATTTCACAGCTCGAGCATCATTCCTTTGTAATCAACCTATGAACTTTTCAGCCCACCCTCGTACCTGAGAAGAAGCAATGCAGATATTAATAAGAAAGGTCGAAATTAAAACAAGCAATATATCAAGACTAATTATTTCTTATGGCTACATCACGTTGAAACATCAGTTCCGCACGATCGCGTAAGTTAAGCAACGTCGAGTCTGGTCAGTAACTAGACGGGTGACCGCTTGGGAATGCCAAATGCTGCAAAAAATGACGTACGTGCTTTTTTTTTTTTTTAATATAAGTTTTAAGTACTCAGTAATCTTAAAAATGTTGGAAAATATTTTCCGTAATCTAATTTTAGGGATGTTGACTTTAAATTTACTATAGTCATTTTTTCTGATAATGTCGTGTATAGTCACCCATACTTTAAAATTGGCACGTTTATACACAAAAAAATTTTTAAAATAATTTTTAGATCTTGGTGTATGATAATTTGTATTAAGCTTTTCAATTTTTGATTAGTAAATGTAGTTTTAACTTAATGACAATATCACCTAACGCAATCAAAATAATGCAGAATTTTAAAAGATTTATATATAAATTATTATAATAAATTATTACAATTGAAATGAAAAAAATGAAAACAATTCTTGTAAAAATTCGTTATTCATAGAATTTTTTTCTCTTAAGACAATAGTTTCCTTAATAAATGACATTTATAAAAGTAATTAAATGCCTTTCTAATTAAATAATGTTATAATTTTATTGCATTTTTTATTCTAAGATTCGGAGCAGATTTTCGAAAAATGAGTAACAGTTTGAAAAAAATTGATGATTTACATTATCTAAGGAGTCCTGCTTTTAACTAATAAAACAAATTTTGTAATCAAAATTTAATTTCTCAAAATTTCATGAAATGAAGTAAGTATTGGGTAACATATTAGAAAAAAAATTACCAAAACTTAAATTTTTTTTACTATGATTTAAAAAAATGTTACCAAGATTTAAAAAAAAAGTTACCAAGATTTAAAATAAAAATTTTACCAAGATTTAAAAAAAAAATTCCAAAATAATTGCATTCAATTGTGAATAAATCCTGAAAGGTTCATTAAAATTCGACAATTATTTGATTTTTGCAAGATTTTCAAAATCAATGTGTTTTTTTTTACCGGAGAAAAGGCGCTGAAATACTAATAGTAAATATTAGGTCAACCCCCCATCCCCCCAAAAAAACAAGATTTTTAACCAAAATTTCGCACTTGCTAGAAAGGATTAAAACACTTAATAAAATAATAAAAATACTTTGGTCTTTCTTAATAATAATAAACATTTTGACTATAAAACTTTGTTCTTAATAGGTTTGGGGCCTTTTTTTCATCATGTTATGCTGTTTTTTCAGCGAATTAGTAAAGGTACTTATATTTAGCAAAGTCTCATTTATTTCCAAACTTTGCCTTGTGATTATCATTTTATCTGAAAGGTGTTGGCATTGTCTCCCTTAAAAAAAATTGTACTTTTAAATATAACCATTACGTGGACGCGGAAAATACTCACAGAAACAAATTTCTTTTTTTATTAAAAAAATCAGCCACAGTTTTTGAAAATTTTATGGGGCTTTTTTTAGTAAGTGATTAGCCGAGTGCCGCCATCTAGCGTTTGAATTTGATTATAAGCAATGGCTGACATCTAAAATTGTATTTTTGGGAAGAAAATTCGGCAATAGAATTGTCACGTAAGGGAACCAATAGCGATATCTTCTTCTAAAGTCGTGGCTTGGCTTTTAAGATTTGAGATTATTTATTTCAAGTTTCAGGCTCAGCGAAGAGATAAATATAATGTATTCACATCAGCAAATAAAAGAAGTTCGGATAGGAATCACCAGCGTTGAAGAAAAGAATTGAAGAAGAACGTCGATAAAGGAAAATTATTGATGATGAAGCGATTTCCGTTGTTAGAGATATTCTGCATAAATCTTTGGGTTGGAAAGGAGTTCGATTCTTTTTTTTTTGTCAGCTTATCAAACATTTTCAAATATCGGCAAAAAGAAAAAAAAAGTTCAAAGGAGAGAAAAACAGGAATTAATACAAATAAAGAAAGTAAAATGTAAATGGAGGAAAAGATTATTGCGAAGAAAATAAATGAGAGAGAGAGAGAGAAGCACATTTGCTTTGTCTCTCTTCCAAACACGCACACGCGCGTGCGCGTGCACGCACATACACACACACACACACACACACAGAGATACACAGATACAGATACATACAGACACACAGACACAGACAAACACAGGCACAGACGCCGACACACACAAACACACACAGACACAGATAGATACACGCAGACACAGGCGCACATACACATACAGACACAGACATACATAGATAGAGACACATACAGACACACAGGCACAGACGCACACAAACACACAGACAGATACACGCAGACACATACACACACACATATATATATAGAGAGAAATATATAGATATAAATATACTTAGATATGAAAATATTTTATATTTAACTATATATATATATATATATATATATATGTGTGTGTGTGTGTGTATCCATATATAGGATTAATACAAATAAAATTTGTCACTTAGTTGATTGATGTTATATTCGGCACCTCGACTCCAGACTTTCGCAGACGAATTTACACACACACACACACACACACACACACACACACACACACACACACACACACACACACACATATATGTATTCGCTAAAAATGAGCATACCATAATGAAAAAATACATCAAGTTTAAAAATAAAGTTTTATTGTCAAAGTCTTTGTTATTATTAAAAGGAAAGACAAAAACATTTTTTGATTATTAAATTTTTTATTCTTTTTAGAACGTTCGAAATTTTGGTTAAAAATCTTGTTTTTCTTGCGTCAGCGGAGGTGGGTGCGTGACCAAAGATTAGTATAGGAAATTTTACCGTCTATTAGGCAGTGAAAAACACATTGATTTATTAAATTCTTAAAAACATGTTGAATTTTATTGAAACTGTCCAAAGTTATTAACAAATGGATAAAATTATTTTTGAAATGTTTCTTTTTTAGCAAATTTTGGTAAAAAATATTTTTATATCTCTCCCCCACCACTCATTTCATGTTTTGAAATTTCGAGAAATTAATTTTTGTATCATTTAATGTTTATATTAGTCATACGCAGAACCCCTTGGAGAATTTAAATCACTTTTTTTTTTTTTTTAAAAATAGGACCCAAAGTTATCGAAAATCTGCTCTGAATCGTAAAATAAAAATTGCAATAAAACTGAGACAATATTAATTTAGAAAATTTTTTAATTACTTTTATGAATAAGATGTATCATGGACACTATTTTCTTAAGAAAAAAATTTTTTTCGTCGAATAATAAACTTTTGCAAGAATTATTTTCATTTTTTTAAACTTTAATTAGAATAATTTATAAAGTTTTAAATCTTTTAAATTTTATTATTAATTTATACCGGTTAGGTAATATTGATATTAAGTAAAAACTATTTACTAATCATAAATGGAAAAGCTTACTAAAATTCAACGACCCCCAATACTTGAAAAATTTTTTAAAATTTTTTTGTATGTATAAACGTACCATACACATTTTCAGAAATTAAGAGCGATGGCTATAGTAAATTTAAGGCCAAAGTAACGAAAATTCAATAAAACATTAGATTACGGAGAATATTTTCCTAAACTTTAAAATTTTCCTGGGTAGTTAAAAATTATATGAAAAAAGCGCTCACATTATATTCCTCAAGTAATTTTACAGATATGTCCGCCGTAGAACAAAATTACATGAGCTGAAATATAAGTCAAACTGTCGACATGTCAACACCTTAAATAAACACATACTTCCGTGTAAAAAATGTATTTCTGCGATATTTTAAACTAAAAAATAGTATTAAACTTCAAATCAGCTAATGTTTCCTCAAATAATGTCTCAGCAATGTATATTTTATTTTTGAAATATTTTTTTTAATAAAGAGAATGACAGATGGCTAAAAATGCCGTTAAAATCAGTTGTTTTTTTGTGGTTTTAAAACAAAACTCTTTTCCAGTAAGTACAGACAGGTTTATTAATTCTTAAATATGTATCAAATTATTTCCCCCATGAATTAACCTTTACTTACATTATATACATTATTCGGATTGTTATCCTCATCGCAGTCTCCTACCACTATTTGGCAAAGTCTTCGAGGCTTTAATCAACGCCGAAGTGGTTAAGTGTTCATTATTTACATTATTCGGACTATTGTCCTAATCTTTGTCGCCATATTTATCTCAACGTTTCGGCTGTTGTACGCTCCGGCCTTCTTCAGGTGGTTGGAATTTCGAAATGAACCCTTTATTTCGCCCACTGGGGTAGACTGTCCTAGCTCCACATGCCATGTTTGATGGATGTCAGTTATCCACTGTGCCATGTCCTCAAGGACACATGGCATGTGGATAAAGGCGTTGCTTAGATCCAGTGACAGGATCCAAAGAGTTTGAGTTCAGTACCCGATTAAGGCAGTGGAGAACTTTCAGAGAGAAATTAGCAGGAGATAACTGACATCCATTACACATGACATGTGGAACTAGAACAGTCTACCCCAGTGAGCAAAATAAAGGGTTCAGTTCGAAATTTCAACCACCTGAAGAAGGCCGGAGCGTACAACAGCCGAAACGTTGTGATAAATATGGCGACAAAGATGAGGACAATAGTCCGAATAATGTAAATAGTGTACATAATACCTCATCTCAGAAATATAGATAGACTCTGGTTAAGTGTTATGGTCCGAGTTCCTTGTACGACGGTGATGGTCCAAGGTTAGAACCAATGAAAGGATAACACAAACACAGGTATGGAATACAAAGATATATTACAACAGAAATATAATACAAAGAAGTAGAAATATTAGTAATGACTATCAGATTTGGTTAGAATGAACTATGTTGTCACGACAAGTATCACTATTCCAATGTCCTTACAATATGCTCTCAATTATCTCTCTTCGTCTTACAATATAGTGATTTTCCAAGTGTAGCTTAGATTTGGCACAACGCCGAAAGTAGGGGGTACCAAGTGAGGACCGAACTCACTATTCAATGGTAATTGTTCTAGCGAGACAAGCTTGCTAGCCATTACACCACCTCGAGGTGCCCTCCTCGTCTTACAATAGTGATTTTCTAAGCCCGGCTTAGATGTGGCACAAGGCCAAAAGTATGGGGTACCCAGTGAGGATCGAACTCACTACTCAGTCGTAATTGATCTAGCAAGGCAAGCTTTCTAACCATTACAACACGTCGAGGTGCCCAGCGAAGATGTGGCACAAGGCCGAAAGTATGGAGCACCCAGTGAGAATCGAACTCACTACTCAGTCGTAACTGTTTTGGCGAGATAAGCTTGCTAACCGTTACACCACGTCGAGGTTCCCCCTCGTCTTACAATATCCCATACCTCTTGAGAGGCGCTGTATTTATAATATCAGGAATAGTCCATTATTATTATGGGTAAGTTCCCATGACATTAAGCACAAGCAATATGGTTTCCGCTTTGCCCTGTTTACCGCTGTCGTGCTCACGGCCATTACTGAATTTGTAGACCAAGCATTCGACAATAACGGAGAAGCTTGTGTTGTGTCTCTTGATATTTTTAAAGCGTTCGATAGGGTTTGACATGCCGGCCTTCTTCGTAAGTTTCAGGGTTACGGCATTACAGGACGATTATTTGATTTACTCCAATCATTCCTGTCAAACCGTGAAATGAAGATCGCCCTAAACGGGTTCTGCTTCAGTTCGTTTCATACGAACGCTGGTGATCCCCAAGGCTCTTTCCTGGGTCCTACACTGATTCTGATCTTCATCAATGATATTCCTGATGTCATCAATTTCCAAGTAGGCATTAATGTAGATGACGCTACTATTTACACCTGCCTCAATAGTAAATCCAATATCACTGTCAAAACTAACCTGTCCGTTGGTCTCGTAAAGGACCTGCAATCTGTGGTTGACTGGGGCAGGAAATGGCTTGTAAATTTTAATGCCTCCAAAACAAGACTGCTCTCATTTACCCACTCTGCTTCCCACCACAATGGCTGATGCCCAACTCCATGAGAGCGCCTTCCTGCGCCTGCTTGATCTCACGCTTTCCACTCAACTGAGGTAGAACAACTTTATTGAATCAATAGCTTCATCTACTGCAAGGAAAGTTACTTCTCTCTGTCACTCCAGAAGGTTTTTCTCGCCTGAGTCCATCCTTCAAATCTACAAATCAACCATTCGTCCTTGAGTGCTGCTGCCATATATGGTCTGGTATTTCTGCTGTTCATCTCGACAAAATGCAGAGACTGATATGCAATGTGATAGGTCTGAATCTGGCATCTTGTCTAGAGTCACTCTCTCACAGACGTGCTGTGGCTTTCCTATGTCTTTTCTAGAAGTATGGCAACTGTTATGGCAAACTACTTTCTCTGGTTTCCAAACTGCATAAATTTAAACGTTCTACTAGGTTGGCACTTGGTCCCACCCTTTCACAGTCGAAACGGTTAAATGTAGCTGTCTCTTCTACTCCAACAGCTTCTTCTCTCGTACTCCTTTCCTGTAACTAGCTATAATCTTCAAATATTCAAATGTAATGTTAACCGACATCTTCTGATGCCTTGATCCTGATCCCCCGTCCTTCTCTATATCTTTTCCTCCAACACCCCCTCTTTATTCCTGTTCTCAATTTCTGCAACCCCTCGCGTGCTAGTGGCACCCACGCCTTGCTTGGGGCGATATGCTTAAAAAAATATTCACAACATTTCGGCCTTCTTCAGGTGAGTGGAATTTTGAATCGAACCCTTCATTTCGTCCACCGGGGTAGATTGTTCTAGTTCCACGTGACATGCCTCTTCCGGATGTCTCAGTTATTTCCCTTTAACTCAACTCTCCAAGTTTTGGTTCACCATTGCTGTAGCGTGGTATTGAACTCACAACTTTTTGGGTCTAGTCACTGAATCTAACCAACGGCTTTATCAAGTGAGTCATGTGTCCTTGATTCCAATCACCTGAAGAAGGCCGTAGCGTACAACGGCCGAAATGTTGTGAATATGGAAATGAAGATAAGGATAACAGTCCGAATAATGTAAGTAATCATAATACCTCATCTTAGAGATATAGAAT